CAATCACCCTGTTGATCAAGGGAGCGGAATGTAACAGAGAGCAGGCACAAAAGATTGCCATGGCCAGACAAGCTGATGAATATCAAAACTGGCTTTCTCAGGCCACCCTGAAAGGACACAGCGGCATATACAAATGTCTGAAAGCCCCAGATGCCGTCCATGTGAGACCATTTCGCAATGTTCCAGTGCAGCAAAGACAACAGCTACGAGAAGCTCAGTGGCATGGAATGTGGCAGGTGGTGGAGAAGCAGCGCCATAATGGAGAGCGGGAGAGGCTACGTTATGAGGGCATAGTCCAAGCCAGACAATGGGAAGATTTGGACCCGCACCTTGTCATGAAACAATTGCAGCGGTTGCCCCAGAAAGCATGTGGTCCTGATGGAGTAAGCTACTCCCTGCTCAAGGCCCTGCCAATTGAAGGAGTCACGGAGCTGTGCAGCATGTACAGGAGATGGGAACTTGAAGGACGCCTGCCTGACCAAGTGCGCACCACGCTGGTCCTGTTGCTGCCCAAGAAGGAGGACATCGAGAGGCCGATTTCTTTGACAAGTGTCCTCTATCGGACGTGGTGCCGCCTGAGATGGGACAAGCTCCGCCCCTGGCAGCGCAGCATTGGTCAAAAGCTGACTTGGGAGCGCAGTGTGCCTGGCACACATGTCCTGCAGGTAGCTCTGATGAGACTGTTGAAGTGTGAAGTTGGAAGAGCTACTGGAAATCATGTGGTGTCGCTGCTGGTGGACCTCCAGTGCTTTTACGACAGTGTGGAGCTGGAGCAGCTGTTAGGAGCGTGGGAACCTGTGGACTTCCCCCCAGCGGTGATGAACATGGTCTATGAAGTCTACACTGGGCCTCGTTTGCTCCAGGCCGAACAGGCCACGTCAAGACCAGTGACGTGTTCAAAAGGCATCTTGGCAGGATGCCCGGCAGCTCCCCTGGTAGCCAAACTGATCCTGGCCCCGGCGCTTGGCCCGTTCAAGGAGCAATTCCCCAAAGCCTCCATTGATGTATGGGTGGATGACATTTCCATCGACTTTGTTGGGGATAGTGTGCAAGCAGTGTGCCGACAAGCACTACAGGGATTTGATGTGCTGCAACAAGGGCTTCAAGATGCAGGGCTGAAGCTGTCACTGGCCAAGATTGGATACCTGGCATCCTCCAATGACTGCAAAAAGGAGCTGACCATCCAGCGACGGGAAGATCAGCCCTCTGTTCACGAGCTCCTGAAAGACTTAGGACTGGATTCCAGCGGAGGGAGAAGGAGGAGGATTGGCACACAACAAAAACGTCTGCTGAAGGCAGGGAGGAGGAATGCCAAACTTCATCACCTCAAGATCAAGTCCCGGCCCATCCGCATTCGAGTGTGGAAGACATCGGTGCACTCAGCAGCTTGCTATGGCCTAGACTTAGCCTGGCTTAGAGGAATTTTGGATTTTTTTGAAAGCACCAATGCATAGTCCAGCCAAAGGCTGACAAAATATCTCAATAGCAGGAAAAACGATCAAATAAAATATCTGCATTATGAAGCCTATTAAAGCTGTTCCCCCCAATGACCCTTAAAATTCTACCACCAAGACACAGCATTGAGCTAAATCAAACTGCAAGCAAATCGCACCGCACTTTTTTCTAGTATGCGCCACAGTCAAAAGCTTCCATCCCTCAGCAAAACTTGGCCGAAGCAGCCATAAAGACAGGTCGAAGCTACCGAAGCTACAAGGTTTGAGTGGAAACGGCTGCAGACGCATTGACACGACGACGACGACAACGACGGAAAAACCTGGCTGTGGAGGTGTACGTTGACCGGAGGCGGGAGAGTCGTCGTCCTCTTCTTACACAGTCCGGGGACGACCAGTCGGATTGTGTAAGGAGAGGACAATCCGCCCTCTCCTTACACAGTCCGGGGACGACCCCGAGTCACCTAAGGAGAGGACACAGAGAGGACAACCCCTTGAAAAGTCAGACAGCTTAGCGGAATTTTTGTTTCGTCCTCTCCGCGTCCTCTCCTTACACAGTTCGGGGACGACCCCAAGTCACCTGAGGAGAGGTCAATCCGTCCTCTCCTTACACAGGAAAAATTCCCGTAAGCCCAGAGGAAAAATTCCCGTAAGTCCGCCGACGGACTATGCAACTTTTTCCAATTCGCGTCATGTTGCGTCCCATGCAGCCAGTGGCGAGGCCGAAGCAGCCTTTGGTTTAAAGTTCCCAGGCACCCACTGTCAAGTCATGGTCCAGCGGGGCGTCGTGAATTTTTTGCACACGTCCTCGAACCATTGCCGAAACAGCCTCGTCTTGGGGCGGAAGCCGAAACAGCCTCGGGAGCAAGTGAGAACTCTGCCATTGGGCCGAAAAGCATTCAAGACACAAAGCAAAACGATGGAGAAAAATATCTCAGTGTGTTGAAAAACGATCGTGTGTGAGCCAATACCAAAGGTTTTCAATTCACACTCTTTAAAAAATTACAAAATTCCTCTAAGCCAAGGCAAGTAGAGGCGCAGGGCATAGCTCCACAGAGGATGAGAACCCTCCGTACTCAGCTTGCCCGACATGGAGGGCTACAGAAGGGAGGCAGCGTTGATGTGGTCTACGACCAGCATGGCCACCTGCAGGATCCGTGGATGACGGTGGTTGAGCGCCAGCTGAAAGCAATGCATCTGCTTGTCCTCAAGTGGCCGCCGGAACAGCTTGCAGAACTTCACACTGCATGGCGTGTCAGTTGGAAGAGGCTGAGAGCAGCGGCATATCCTTGGATGGTGGTCACAGGACCGATGGCAGCCCTGCAAGTATATCTTATGGACATGGGATGGGACGCCAGCAGCCTGAATGACTGGCTCAGGCCACAGGTGGGACTGATGCCACCGGCACAGCTCAACATGGAGTTTCCTTGGCCATACCTCCAGAGGCAACTCAAGATTGAGATGGACAACCAGAGGGCCAGGAGGATCCAGGAGCTTGAGCATGCCTTCCCCCTGATGCATCGACCTGACTGGAGCACCTACCACAAAGTCATGAAGAAGGCCAACGGGGGTCAGAAGGCAGCCATCAATGCTTGGACACAAGGGTCCTTGAGAGCCCACTATGGGGTGAGCGTATGATGTGCCCGCTGTGCAAAGTCCCCGTGAGCATGAAGCATTTGGTGTGGCAATGTAGCTATCATACTGAACCCCTGCCTGAAGAGTGGACTCAGATGATTGCAGCCAATGAGAATACAATGCTGTGGGCCAGGGGACTCATTGAACTACCAGCCTATGACCCCATTCAAGGGGTGGACTCCTGTGAAGTTGGAGGCATCTTCACTCATGGGTGGCCTGTCCGCATTGGACCACATCAGATGCTGGCAATTGGGGTGCAAGCTACGAGCAAAGACAAACGGCTCAGGAAGTTTGCGGTTGCAGTGGTAGCCACACAATGGCAAGATGGGGGATGGCAACTCATTGGCCACTGCACTGCATTGGCACCTGGACCTGGCACTGAAGCAAGAGCGTGGTTCTTTGGATGTTGGCTCACGCTGCAAATGGTGTTGGGGCGCCACCAGCTCAACATACCACACCATGGAGGGTGGGCAGCCATTCGGAAGGGAGCTCAGGGCAAAGTGGCGCCAGATCTTTGGCATCATCTCCCTGAAGAGGAATGGTCCAGGCTACAGCTGGTGCAGGTGCCATGGAAACTGCTCAAGGATCAACAAGAAGATGTGCGGGGCAAGAAGCAGTATATCACGGCCAAGGAGGTGGCGGCTAGACGTGCCAACCTGGAGCGGCCAACCTCACTGGAGAATGAGTTAAAGGTTGAGGATCAGCTGCACTTTGAAGTCTACCAGGTGGCTGGCCAAAGAATTGGTGCGATCTTGCAGGACAAACACCACTACATGAATGGCAAGCTGGAGCCAGTGCCGGAGCACACCACCTCCAAAGCCAAGTCCAACCCCAGAGGGGGAAGAGTTGAGGTGCTAAGACAGCTTACGCAGCGCCCAGCGCTCAGAAGGGAGCCCATCAGTGGCAGATGCACAACAATGGGGTGAAGTGCAGCCTCTGTCACAAGAAGATCAAAGCCTGTGCCACGTTTGCTGAGATTGGGCAGAAACAAGATACGGCATGCAGTGGCTTTGTTGAGCAGACAATGGAGCAGCAGTTGCGCCAACTGGTGGATGAGTCAAGTCTATTGGCTGAGGGACAGGAGGGACATAGATGGTACCTCCATGGGAGCCACTTTGGATGCCGCCAATGCTGGGAGAAGATTCCCAGGCGCAGTGGCAAACACCTGCTCCAGAAGTTGCAAGCCAAGGAATGCATTCATGGGCCAGTGGATGAAGCTGCACTCAACATACGACAGCGGATCCACCCAAGTCATGCTTTGATGAGAAAGGGCACGTGGCTTGAATGTCAACAGTGCCGCAAGTATGGCAAGATAGTGGATGGACGAATTGCACAATGGGTGCATCAGCCTTGCTTGAAGGCAAAGGGCCAGAGGACCCTAAACTTTGGGCCTGGAAGCTCAGATAGCTGAGCTAGGCATTTGATGGTCTACAAGGAGAATGAGCCTTGGACCTGACTTGTGCTCGGTCACTTTTGCCTAGAAGGCGTGACCACAGACCTCGAGGATTGCAGTCCAAATGAAAAGGGAAAAAAAGGGAGCGAGATGTTCTCCAATAGTAACAGAATGTATTCAATGCATTCATTGGAGCAGCAGAAGGGCAAAAGCAATGTTGCTTTGATTATGTCAGGGGGTTAAGATGACTTTCCTAGTGACACTTGTTGTTGCTGTGAGTATGAGGCGGCAATCGCTTGCCGTTGCTGGGTTCAAGTCGGCAAATCAAAGTACATCGCGACTGTGCACTCAAAATACACTTAAATATACTCTAAAAATCTTAACTAACAAGAGCCCCTATGGTTTTGAGCCGGTTAGTTCAAGCAAAGGCACCACCGGCCATGATGTGTTCAAACAAAGATCCAGTGAATAGTGATAGTGGTGACCGTTTGCAGATTCTAGCTTTTAATGTTCCATGGCAGGTTCCTTGCTCACCATCCGGCGGATCCTTTGGGAGACCTGGACCCGGGCCTAAAGGTGGGACACCTTCACCTTCCTGCTCTTTAGACAGGTTGGAGTCAACACCTGTTTTTTGTTGTTCGATCGCTACTACATATTTTGCGCATGAGCCTAATCTTGGACAAAGAACGAACAATTAAGTCCATTTGAGAATGTGATAGAATGGGTACTGTATTCCGCATCATTTATCATCATTTGACCATATTTAGCCAGGGACCTAAGACTCAGCGTGCAGCGTGAGGCTGCAGTGCTACACAAAGATCCGGGGAAGTATTGGCTGCAGGCGCCTTTGAGAACAGCATGACATGCCGTAATTCTTCCATCCCCAAATTTGTGGAAGTTTGAGCGCACATGGTTTAGACCAGTCGGGTGAAACAAAGTGCCCCAGGCCTCACCAGAAAACATCAAAAAACATTATTCTGTATTGCTGGACAGGCCGCCTCACTACTAGGAACAAGAAGCTACTAGGGACTCCTGGCATCGCTACTAGGAGCAAGGACGCTACCAGGGGCTCCTGGCCGTGCTACTAGGAACAAGAAGCCACTCCCAAGAGACGCAATGCACAACTCACACCCTGCATGATCCGGACATCGCCGACACACGGAGGCACCTCAAAGAGCTCTTCCAACCAAAGAGGTGGCTTGCTTCACTTTTGCGTTGTTGATGGTCGCTTCCCTCCCACCGTTGGCCTATGTTGGCCTCAAGGTATGGATGTATAATGATGTATACATAATATTACCCAGTAGAATATAAATTCTGCAGGTGACGCTAGAGGAACATGTGCAGAAACAAATTGTATCAACTACCACCCTAATAAGATCTAATTAAGGTTCAAAGTTCAAATCCAAGAGGTGTTGAAGCAGGTTGTCAGTCATCCTGCTGATGGTCCTGGTGGTGCTGTTCGGTTCACTTGTCTAAATGGTAGCTGGTAGCTTGTTAAGATGCTCCAGACTCCACTTGGACCAGAATCTTCAACGACCAGCAGGGTGCAAGGGCTTGTAAGTACTCTGTTTGTGTTAGAAAGGTTGGTAGGAGTAGCCAGTTGCGAGGCACGAGACTATGTCTTGCAGTGAGGACCTCAAGACTTTCAGCACCCCTTATGCCTTGTGCTGGCCACTTTGAGTCACGTCTGAATCGTGAATCTATCTCCCAAAATTAGGCATGTTGTTTGTAGGATTGTTTTTGGGTTCCGGCATTTGCCAAGGCTTGGGCACATATTTGTCTCTTTTCAGACTTTCGCTCTTTGCAGTAGTCATTGGTCAAGCATTTCAAAGCTGTAGCAGGCCGCTTCTGCAAGCTGACACATGTTTCAAATCCGGCATTCAATTTTTGAGGTTCTGATTTTTCGGTGACAAACCAAGGCATCGGCGTGCTGAAGAGATGGACAATGCCATGAAGATTGCACTAATAGGATCACCAAGTTCGGGTAAGCCTAGCGCTGAGTGCAGAGGCTGCTAATTCGCAGGTGAGACATGTTGTGTTGAACCTTAAGATTGGAGAACTCGTCCAGCACGAACGGATTCCGAAACTCCCAGGATGTGGAGAAACAGATTCTATATAAGCATCATGTTGTCACCAAAGACGGGCAAGTCAGCAAAGGTCAAGCATCATCAACGCCTTGCTCCAAGAGGAGCGATGCATCGAAACCCTGGCGAAGATTGAATAAGCGCCCGCACTATTCATTTGGTTCCTAGAGAAGGTTGATCATTCGTGAGACTATGAATATAATATCTGAACATTTATGAACACACTTTGACCAAATCCTACGTGTTTTTGCATGTTTTCGCTGTCCTTTTATGGGAGCCAATGTGGAAGACTTCAGGCGCCCTTAAGTTTGATGGAAGACAACACAGAAGAAGTGCTGCTCCCCAACCACAATCTTGTAAGCGCACATCGCCATCCCACAACTAATATCCACACTCAGGTTTGGTGTCAAAATCCTGTCCAACCATTGCGAGCATGTTCATCCGTTCATCCCCACCAGTAGAAACAGCGTTCATATGTTCTTGCATGATCACCAGCCAGTCAGAGTGTGCGTGCTCATACGACAAACATAAACCATGTTTTTTTCTTTACTGTTTTGAGCAAGTCGCGGGACTTTCTATTTCTGGCAGGTTGATGAGAATGACGGGACGACGATGGACTCTATAATCACCAACTGGTGGGCATCCAAGATTGCTGTTTTTGTAATGTTTGAAATGTCATCCAGGATCACAAAGAGCACGCATCAAACCTGGCGTTTTCCCAACATTGGTGTATCTCCATGCCATGCCATGATGTATGAAACAAGAACTACAGTACATATTTCATCATAGTTCAGCATTCTCAATGTTGCTCTATCTGCTAGCACTTGGGATTTGTCAGAATGGCCATCCACTAATTTGGCGCGAGCCAAGAGGCCCGTGGCAGTCACCGAGGACTTTCAAAGAGCAACCGGTTAAGCTCATCGACACGCTCGGAGCTCGATTTTGGCTGCTTGTCGTCCTCCAATGAATCGTCCTGGTTTGGTGGCAAGCATGTTGCGCCAGTTCCTATCAAAAATGTCCGATACATAGGAGAAAGATGGAGAAAGGTAGACTAAGTTTGTGCCGCCCAGGTGTGGTGTGGGCAGGAAGTTCACTTACCCTGGCTTCAAACCAAAGGAGCGTGGAGCCTGGATGATATCCAGCTGTCGATAGCTTCGGGTGATGTCCTTGTCCATGTCGTTGGTTGAGCTTGACAAAGGTCTGTCAAAGATAGCACGCTGTCATTACATGGATAAATAGTCATAGTTTCCTTTGCTGCAAAGAGGTCTGCCTCGGGGTAGAAAAGGTCGAGAGCTTGCCTGATTCACCAATAAATAAAAGTGAAGAACCACACTTAGCATATGTTAGCATGCTTGGTAGAGAACATGAGGCGAATTTGATGGACACTTCCCTTGTTTCCTGCCTTCTCCCAAAAGCACTTCATGACCTCTGCGAAGGAAGGAGATAGAGTCGAGGCAGTGTGGCATTCAACAAAGTTAAGTTATGTTAATATTAAGTCCCCTAAACATCAAGGAACCACATCATTGGTGCGAGCGCTTCTTCAAGGAAGCGTGAGCTATTTTGCGTCCATATGTAGTAGCTTAAGTTTATAGCTAGGAGCGAACTTCTCCCTTACTTCTATAATTATGTAGGCGCCTGCTTATATATATAATTAAAGTCTATTAAAGTAAGGGCGAGGTCTTTCAAAAAATGAACAAAACATAAATACACGTTTCGCTCTTTAAGTTGGCTGTCCGGGTTTTGGCCTTCTGAGGCGTGGGTCCGTAGGATTGAAAATTCAGTTTGTCACAAAAAGTTATGCAAAGCCACGACTGGAGCCTGTCTTCGGGAAAGTGGAGGCACACTGACCGATGCTGCTCAAGTCACTGCATCACTGCATTCAGCCCAGCCCGTTTGGATGATGTTGAATGATGCATGTATTGGCACATCCTTTGTTGTCCTGCGCTCGGAGTCCTCCTTGGCGATTTTGGTGGCACATTTTGGAGGCGGCAACGGCTCCAGGAGGATCCCCCTGCAGCGGACAGCAGTCAGCAAATGCCACGGCAACGGCGTTCCACTATGCTATGGACTTTGTACGGGTCTTTCTTCCACAAATCTCCTATGTGTTTCAGCGGCAGGCCGTCTTTTTTGTGCTTTGCGAAAAGCTTGATGCTTTGACCCAAGAGAATTGGGCAGAAGGCGTCCCAATACCGGATTTCGACCAAGAGGTGCTCCAAATAACAGCATCTAGTCTTGGTGCACATTTGCCATGCCTTTTTGGCTGGGTTGCGGCTTTGGTTTGTGAGCTCCGGGTCCAGCAGGATGTGCTGAACGGCCTTTGGGATGCACATTTGGAGCTTTTTTTGAAGAGATCTGTTCCAAATCTGAGCAGGTTGGAGGCTGCGGAGGACGGCTGGATGGACGAGAGGGAGGAGATCTTAGGAGCTCTTCGTGCCAAAGATCATCGAGGAATTGCACGACTTCAGTCACGCGGTCGTTGGATACTCAGAGATTTGCTTCACGGAGGCCATCGTGGCCTTAGCTTGCTTGACTCTTCTGGCTGGGCCCAGCTACCACATGTCTTGGAGGTGCTACCTGCTGGCGAAAGGGGCCCTGCTTGTGAAGGTGCTGCCTTTGCTTTACAGCACACCTTTCTTGGGCAGGTCACAAGGATGATGGTTGCACGCTCGGAGGAAGGACTCTTTGCAAGAAGTGAAGGACTTGCCTTGAAGGTTTGGGCTGCCAGTTCACATCCAACATTGCTTCTTGAACCTCTCAGCCTCTGGAAACAAGCTTTTTTGATGGACATATTGCTTTCAACCAGCCAGTGCTTGGATGAGCTGCCTGACGTCCCTTGTGACGAGGCTCTACGAGATCTTTTCTCTCGTCTCGGCAGCCGCGACGATGGTCTGGGGCACTTTCCTTTTTGGTTGATGACTTTGAAGAATTTTCGCGGGTTTTTGCAATCATTGCGCGCGATCAAGTGAGGAACGCAGACATCTTGCTTTGTGGGGAGCCGGCGTTTCTGTGTTGGCTGCTGTTCAAATTCAATTTCAAGTCTGTACTAGGCTACCTGGGCAACCCTTTGGGTTCCTATTTGAGTGCTAGCATGCAGACAGCTTTCTACAGCTTCATATACGAAACGCCGCAACTCACCACCTCTGTCAATGCATCGCTTCAATTGGTGTTCATGTCTCCTCCAATCGCAGCTTCTGCCTATTGGTCAACTGGAGTTCAGTTTCCTGTGCTACGACCTGTGGCCGACTACATCACTTACAGTGCTACATATCGCGAGACTGATGTGCATGACGTGCTCATCACGAAGCAGGTCTTCACCTTCTGGGATTTCCGATGCATGTTGAGCCAAGTGGCGAACATCGTAAAGAGCTGGACGCCTAAGTGGCACTTCCACGACATTTCTCACTTGGAGGACAGCTGGAAAGCTTTGCCCAGCTTCCGGGCAGCACTAATGGTGCCATATGACGCTCAGACACTGGTTTTCTATGAGCTCTATAGCTTTGGCATGCCACTTCTAGTGCCAAACCAGATGCTGCTGCCACTCTTCTTCATGAGAAGTTACGGCCAAGATGGTGGGGTAGCACATCAACGGCCAGGCTGGTCCTTAAAACGGCAAGGTGCGGCTTGGGGGCGCTGGCACCAAGGAAGCTTCAATGAATTGCTGTGGTGGGCAATGTTCAGCGACATAGCCAGAATGCCACACTTGCTGGTTTGGTCCTCTTTAGCTGAGCTGTTCCACTTGCTTGCTTCGCCCTTGTCAACAGTATCCGCCAAAATGCTCGAGGTCACAAGGCAGCATCGCGCAAGGTCCCTTGGCTTTTGGCGAGCATGTCTCGCATAACGTGCTTGCATGTTGGACCTGTCTTTCGGCTTGTAGCTCACAACATCGCGGCATGGTTCTTCGTGGCATTCCATGGCCATCCAGTGGCAAGCTTCGCAGTTTATATAATTGCGACTATGTTGAACTAACCTGGTAAATCCTGCTGGCAAGACTGCCAATGTCCTACTCCCACCAGCATTGAAACAGAGCCGGAGTTGGCTGGTTGTCTTTCAACGACTGTGTGCTGCCATTCAGTGTGGCGGCGATTGCCGGGACGACGTGCCCCACGGGAGACTGACCAGGGATGCTTGCAAGGTTCAGGAGAAAACTGCTGTGGTGAACATTGGAGCATGACTGCGCCTGCAATGGGCAGACGCAGCAGCCAAAGCGGACTTGCTACTTGCTCCCTTCCTAAGGTTTATGGAGCCGGGCATGGGCACTAAGAAAGCCATCAACCGGGTCGAAGCCCCAGTCCCTGCAGCTTTTCGATGTCAAAGGCCGGGCTAGATGGTGGGGATGGTTGGTGGATGATGGTGGATGGTGGATGGTGGATGTTGTTGTCATACACAGTGACAGTATCATACTGTAAGAGGTCTACACCACTGGCAGCTCTTTGCTTGATATTGACTGTGCCACTGCCTAGGCACACGTGTGCGTTTTATGTTTGGATGCCTCACGCTTCCAGAAGCTGGCCGGGGCGGGCTTTCACTGTGCCTTGGCTACGACCTCTCAGTTAGCAATAGGCAGCCATTAAGATCAATTTATGATCAATTACGCGTCACGGCCCCAAAGCCTGGGGTAAAGCTTCCTTTCCTCCATCTCACGTTGATCGGAAGGACGTGAAACATAGAGCACCCAAGAAATCTCATTTGGAGATATTTGGAGCAGGTAATTTTGATGGTGCGATTTGTTGCAGATTGTTTCAGGTTTGTGGTGCCAATTCTTCGGCAGGGACTCCATCCAGATTGTGTAGCAGTGTAGCATCCAAGGTCCAAACAAAATGGAGGTGCATTTAGGGAACTATGTGGTAGAGGAGGGCAAGTGCTTGGTCATCGCCACAAACTCAGGAGAGCATATGAAATACATTGAGCATCTTTTAAGCGAGATGATACGGGCACCTGCTGAAAAAGTAGGATGCACTGTACAAGTGGCGCCGTTTTCAATATATATATATATAACTATATATATATACTGTATATAGGAAGGGGAGCAGTGATCTTGCACAAGCATGTCATGGCCATGCACTCACAGTCTTTGCTTCATCAACTTTGAAATTGTGGATGTGCTGATGGTGCATATAAGCATTTGATGCATTTTGAGACTAAACGATGTCAAGTACTGTAAATCAGAGCAACACAGCTGGAGTGCTCAATCTCAGACAGTCACCTTTGGGGTGGCCAGTTGTACTGTACATGAACATTCGGTTGACAACACGGGTGCTGCACGCGAAGAGCAACATAGTTCATTTGGAAGGGCGGATCAATCATGTGCAAGACTCAGAACTAAGGCGGGTCCTTGTGTGGTCTGAACACGTATCAAAGCCCTGCAGGTTTTGGTTGATTCATGGCATGTTACTATTTGATACTATATATTGGTTTCACATGAGAGGGTGTACACCCATTTTGGAGCGATATCGGCACTGGTTTGATTTTCTTCTTCATGAACGCTTGGCCTGACTACCCATGCTTTTTCCACTGTGTGTGGATGCCATGGCGGCGGATAAGTTCCATGAAGAAGGGCAGGCGCTTCTGGCTGAGTTGATTGGATTGGGCATGATTGAGATCCTAAACATGCATCATCAGCATCCTGTACGATTGAGGGTTCAACTTCGGCAAGAATATTTAACCCACCTGAGCTGCACGAAAGACATTTCAACGTCTTTGATATTAGTTGTGTAAGCCCGGGTAAGACACTCGTGTGCCCTGCGCACTTTGATGAACACCTTTGCTGCGTCAGCCTTGCAGAAATCCATCGGAGAGTTTAGCACAGCCACAGCTCACCTGTAAACTTGGAACACTGTCATATCATTATGCCCAAACGTCCAGATATCCAGCAGGCAGTTCAAGCCCGCTGGCGGGTCCTGCAGCTCTTGGCGAGCGACATCCTCGAGGTGGGCAAGCGATCCATCAAGCCCTGGATAATGCCTATGTTGATTGCAAGGGATATGTATTATATAATGCATGCTTGTATGTATGTATATTATATGTATTATACACAGTCACGTTTTGTGCCTTTTGAAATGCTTTTAATTTTTGCATCATACCCAGTTCAATTTGGGTCGGACTGGTAAAATTATGTTTTGTGTGGTAGGCGCACCACGGTCACAAACAAGGGAGTCACCCAGCCACCTACATAACAGACAGAGTTTAGTGGTAAGCTTCAAAAACGACTCGGCTTCTCCTATCAACGTTTTGTTCAGACGTGTCGGCAGGCCATGCAAACAGTGTGACTTTATATAGTAACTCTTGAGAGAAGCTGGAAACCATTTTGAAAACCGCCTTCACCAGGTTAATACCTGGACGTCGAAACTAAATCGATTCTCACTTTTACTACGTTATACTGATGGGCATGAGGGGCGCCTACGGGTGCGGCATTTTATCTATATGTCCTTTGATGCACACATGATGACTCCTAGAATTTCGGGTCAAGCGTATGGACCGGTCGCTTGCCGCGGGGCTACTAGCGGTAGTATCTCCGCCATAGCCTTGCAGTTGCTCGCTTCGGCCCTCGAATCCTCTCCGACACCCTTCGACTGTCCTTCCTGCCCCGAGCTGGCTCCTTTTTGGGAACATCTTGCTCTAGGCCACTTGGACCTTCCCAGTGTCGTGTTTCGGCCCGGTCTTGGACTTGGTGAACCTGGTACGCCAGAGCTGGAAAGTTTGGTTGCGCAGCCGCCTGCTCCAGCTGGGCGAAGAGAAGCCGCTTTACAAGCTTGCATGAGTAGCAAGCCCGTGACTCAAGCTCAGCTAGAGCTCCTGCTGTCCACGATCCGGGATCAGAGCTCGGAAATTGAGGCCCTGCGGAAACGAGTGGCTGACTTAGAGTCACGGGTCCTTGCTCTCGCTGTCGCCAGCGCCAGCGAACCTGAGGATTTTGAGGTGGTGAGTACGGCTAAGGCCTCTTCGGTTCCGGCAGCATCTGAGGCTGCCACATCCTCCCTGACTATCTCGTCGTCGGGGATTTCCGAGGCCCGTCGTGAGATTGCTCGTGAAGTGGGACAGTGGTTGAAGCGCTGCCTCATTGGTGCTCCTCGAGGACCGAGCGGGCGGGAGAAAGTGAGTTTGCAAAGCCGGCTGTATCTTGTTTGCCGCGATAGGCAGTGTTCAATCCCCCCAAAGTGTTTTTCACTTGGACGGAAGCGAAACCTCTCTGCATCGAGCGCACGGGCATCCCCTCGGACGGCATCTTCATTGGGCTCCCTTCGAAAGAGGAAGCTCGCTTGGCCTTGGTGGAGGCAGGGCTTGAGATCCCGTCGGCGCTCCAGCGCTGATGGCTATGAGTGGAACCGCATCAGAGGTACCAGAGTGCCCCGAGAGCTCTGGTATCCGTGATCACCTAGTGGTCTCGGGAGAGGAAATTCAGTTTGACTACCTTGTAGGTGCCCTCGCCTTTGAAGCCGACCGGGCACTATGTTCATGTGTAGCCATCACAGAGATAGATGGCGCAGTTTTGTGTGCTGTCCCGGAGTCGGTCTGAGTTAAGCCAAGCGCATCCTGCCCATAGACTGTTTGCGAAAAGCTGTGAAAGTCATGGTGCCTGGAGCCATCGACGACGAACGAGAAATACCCGAGCAGCAGCCCACCTTCCGCTTATGGTGCGGCCTTCTCAAGAGCAGCTACGAGGAAAACTTTTCTGCCGAGTTCGAAGCGGTGGACTACCCCTTCCCCGTCGACTCCATGGGCATCCCCAAGATTCCTTTTGCGAGAGCGCTGGTACACATCGCTCGAGATCATTTCGAGTTTGCCACAGCCGACGATGGAAGGCCTCCGCCGCTGGATATGGAGCAAAGGCTCCAGTCTGTCGAACAGCTGCTAGCGGACATGAGAGTGAGCCTGGCCCGGCTGGCCCCGCCACCGCCGGGGTTGACTGGAGACGGAGGACCTCGTGCAGCTCCTTTGCCACCTCCTCCTGCAGACGTGGGAAAGCGGCAAGCAGCAGCGCCCAGCATTCCGCCCGGAATCGATCCGGGCGTTGCCCGGCAGGCTCTTCAGAGTGGAGTCACTCCCGAGGCACTGGTCGAGATGGCAAAGGTCCTGAATGTCGGTCCGCCCGGCCGCACACCACACATCCCACAGGCTCGGTTGCAAAAGGCGAATGCGGCGCTGTCCAGCGAGGAAGAAGAAGAGGAGGAGGAAGTGGCCGGCGGTGGGTCTCAAAAGCCTGTCGAGAAGGCCGTGATCCACCTGTCAAAGATTGTCACTCGGCTTGCTGCCGAGAAGAAGTTGACGAAGGATCGCACACTGGAAAGTCTTTTGGATCGGGCCGAGTCTGGATCAGCCTCATGGGCTCCAGCCGCAGCAAGTCAGCCGCCCTGAGGTCATTGAGAAAGCTCCTTCATCTTCAGCCCGAGCTGATCTACCAGGCCTTGGAGCAGCGCATGGAGGAGGATTGGAGCCAGATGGGCGCTCTGCCTGGGACGTCCTCGGCGGCCATTACCGCCCGGGGTTGGCTGGAGCACCGCAGTCGAGTACAGAATTTTCAAGTACCGGTTCGGGCTTGCTGGATTTTAGGTGGTGTCCGGGATGCTCTGCGACAAGGCAAAACAGACGAGGCTCGCGCCCGATGTGCCTTGGGCGTCGCCTCCTTCGACCAGCAGGGCATCGACAGGGGTTCATGGTTGGTAGCTCAAGAAATCAGCCTAGAGGACCCTCCTCCCTTCTCATCCTTTGCAGCTCATCGCCCTTTGGAGAATTGGGAGAGCCCCCCCACACAAAGCTGATAGACGAGCGCTGGCTGGAGTTGTTTCTGGCAAAGTTGCGCGACATCCACGACTATCAGGACAAGAAGAGCAAGCTGAGCTCCTCCAGTCGGAGGACGGAGGATCCGGCCGCCGACAAGGCGGGCCCGGACAAGCCGGACAAGTCAACCAAGAAGCAAAAAGGAAAAGGTGCCAGCAAGGGGGGCGGCGACGAGAAGCCGTCGTCCACCAGCTAGGCACTGGAGGTATGAGCCCTGATGTCCATGGCCGAGGCGCGTACAGCGCCGGGCTCGGGGAGATGAAAGATGCGGCCGTGCATGTGCCGGGAGCCGGAGCGCCTCTCTGCAGTGTTCAACGATTGTGGAATTCAATGACCAGGTGGCTGCACAAGTCGACTGGCCCCTTTTCGTGTTTTTTCCGCTCGTTTCTTGGCCAAGTGCCTCCTACGTCCGGGGGCTCAGCTTCATCTCTTTGGCCGATGCCGGCGCCTTATCCCAAGTGGTTTGAACCTGTTGTGGTCAAAGCCGTGGGGACCCAGGGCTATAGGCAGATGTGCAAGCAGAAAGCCGTGAACTTTGCCATCTTAGCTCTCTCCTGGTTACACTTGAACCGCACTAACGCTGCACCCTCTGAGTTGAGCCTCCAGACAAAATTGTCTCGGAAGCAGTGGGCTGTAGTTCATAGGATTGAAAAGCTGCTGGATGAGATCGCTGTGACAGACGCGGTGGGGCCAGATCAGATGGGCCGCACCGCAGCCAAAGTAGAAAGTTTGGACTCCTTGTTGGAGACCTTGCGTGGAGTGGCCTTGAGCATGCTGCCTGAATCATACAAGCGGCACCCTCATGAGCCAGGTTTTTTGAAAGTTGGCGTCTCGACAGACGCTGGCAAAGTAGTGGGTCATTTGAAAACAAGCAACCCCATAGTCGCAAAGGAAGTGGAGACCCACAGACTATCTGTTCCCATGGAACCTCCCGAATTCAGACCTGGAGACCTACTACCTCCTCATCACCTTGCTGTCTTTGAGGACCCATTGAAGTTCGCCAGTGACCCGCTGACGGTCAGCACGCCACCACCCAAAGTACACCTGCACGCATCCAGGCAGCAGGCGTTTGATCTTCTGCGTTTTCTGGATGAAC